TGTACACATCCTAGACCATGCAGTCTTCAAAATAAAAATTGTAACCTTTGGTAATCAACTACATTTTCCACATACAAAGAAATTTTTGAAACTTTATTAAAAAAATCCAATACCATAATTCACCACTATAGACACTTTTTGACAAAAAATGAAAAATTACGACTTTGTTACCCAATGAGTGTTCTAATATAGACAATGGGTCGTGTCTCATATTATTTGTTATATTTTTACTCATTATTTTCACTTGACTCGCATAAATAATTTTGTTCGAAGAATATTTATATGCAGTTGTACTTCGCAGCACTTCTCTTGCAATTTGCAATTTCTAGTACCTAATAGTAATAAAACAGACGATTTCAGAACTATTCTATGTAAAGACAGACATAGGCTACATACACTTGCTACAACACTTTTTCAGGTGCAAGTGTCTTTCAAAGCTGGTACTGTATGTAGTACCGGTATTATGTCAATAAAAACTAAAATACTAACATCTTCCATGTTTTACTAATTTTATCAGTCTATGCGACTCATTTCATTTTACAAATATATATTAGATTGATATCTTTACTGTAATCAATTTAAATAAAGAAATCAATAGCTTATCCACTTTATGTATCCGTTTGGAAATAAGTCCCAAAAGGCTTAAGAGTTTGCCATGCTGTCATTTCTAAATTTTGTTTTCCAGTTTAAACGTTTCGTCCTTTTAGTTTGTTTTCAAAAATGTAATGTCTGCTATTTGCTATTCATTTTATACATATTTTCAAGCACTGTTATCCTGTTGTCTTTTCTGTATGACAATCATTACAAACTAATTCTCCTTTACACACCTTAGCCTGATTAGTTCTTAGTTTCCTCCTAGGCATTAACTGTTGCATAGCTTCATCAGTAAATTATGTCTTGGTTCTATTCATTTAAGTACTTTGTATTATTGTTATTTTATTACATTTCATTAGACACCCACAACATCAATCTTATGTTTATTCTGAAGGCCTTATTTGAAATAGGCATCTGTGTTTTTAAAGAGATTTTTTTTCGTTTTACAATATATAATTTTACGGTCATATGCCTAGTTAGTATTACTAATTCTTTCACATATAATTTAAATTTATTCTTAGAAAGTAGGCAATTATCAATATTAGACATGTTTGATAAAACGCTGTCTGATAGTGTAAGACAGCTTAAAACAAGGGAGTAAGTAATAATCTAACTACAAGATCGACGAACCAGATCAGAAGTCCTTGGAACGTAAATTACCATTCAGGGGGCATCAGCAATACCTAATGATCGCAATCATCATATGACAAATTTCACAAGAATTGAATTGTACCACACACAAGACGATCATTAGTGGGCTTGCCTAAAATCGCAGGTACAGAGATATTAACAGTTGCGGACTATTAAGTTAAATAAATTATAATTTAATCTATTTCATTGAATTAATACACCCTAGGTCGAATATTTGGTGGACAGTATAGTCTAGTATTTATCTGTTAGATGGTTGTGTATCGTAGGATGTCATCTTCCTTGCTTCCAATGTGAACTAAGTATGTGGCTGACAGCAAACTCAGCTGCCGATATCTCACCTGCTGACAATAAGCATGGCTAGTGTTCATTTTATAATGTGACTCCTTTATGAACTCTACAATATAAAGTATTGAATCACTTGTTGAAAGACCATGTTGGGAGGTTTCTGCACATTCGAGATGTCATGTGGTCTGTTTAGCAAGATGATTTTGTTTTCTTAATGAAATTTTAACTGTGCAACTTGCGAGTGCTGTCTATCCATCATCGTGTTGAAGTTGATAGTGTCATGGTTTCATTCAATATTCTTTAAATCATGCACAATATCCCTACAAACAAGTCACTATCTGACTTATGCGACTTCTCTAACGAAGATAATGTGTCCAATATATAGTGCAATATATAGCGGAATATTTCAGCACATACTGATATTTTATTAGCCTAATATCATACAATACACATCAATAATAATACTAAGGCCTAATAACAATATTACATATCATAACCATTAACATCTGACTATTTAAAACACATGGAGCAGAATAAACATTATTCTTACAAATTTAGACTTTTTCGATTATTTTAATTATTATAATACACATTCACATAAATATATTTTTTCAAGTAAATGCATATGGTTTATAAAATTATCTTAAGCATAAAATAAAAGATAGTTATTACACAATAAGTTTGACTTTCTTGCACGCCTGTAATTTTCAGGATTTTGACGTAACTGTGTAATGCAGTTCTCATAACTTGCAATATGATAGGCTGATGTGATAGGCAGAGATTGATGGACATGTGACACATCCAGTGTACAGCCAGCGTGCAAACCTGCATCTGCATAAAAGAGAAAGGGTTTTTGAAAAGAGTAGAATTGAGAACTTTTTTTCACTTTTTGCAACTACTGTATGAATAATACACATTATTTGCCTTATGATAGCCTGATTTGATGATTGACACCTCCAAAGCATGGCAATCAAAACTAATATGTTAAGATCACATTCCACAGTTTTGAAGTTTACATTAAACGATCTTTAAGCAACCCGAATCATCTGGTTGACTTGATTCTGTGGTTTCTGATATATCATAGATACAGCAAATGTTGTTATAAGGCTGATGCCTTCCTTTCAAGAAAGTAAAGTTGACGACATTTTCCTAACAACCTGTCAAGGAGTTTCCTCTTGCCTGTCATCAAATCCCCCTGTTAATTTCTTATACCATTAACCTCTTAACCTGTCCCTTTCTTCCTAATAAACATGGCAATCATTTTTGGTTTACAAAATATTGCCTTCATATTATCATAGTTACAGAGGGTTGGTTAATATGCATTAACAGAGATTTCTGTGGTTGAGAGGGAAGGAAGGAGAGTAGGGAGGTGAGAATTCTGTCATCAAATGTCCCTAGTCTACTGAGTCGATTCATAGTAACTGAAATTTGGACAATAAAATCAGTGACTTGAAGACATAATATGGCTTGTTAGAGAAATACTTTTTTTTTTGGTCATTATTATATGTATGGTGTGTGACGTATGTTAATGAAAAACAATTTAATGGATAAGTTAGGAGAGTTAAGTTATATTTTTTTAATGTATTTAATATTAAAACAGAATATATAACAACGTAACTGACTTTTGTAAAACTAGATACATATGTGCCAACACTTTAGCACTTGTACTCTAAAGTACCATGCAGATCATCTACAGTAATTCTGTGATACAGGGGACCATACTATAAATTGTACAGTACAGTTAAATACTCTTTCAATCAGAGACTCATTTCAAGGTTTTCCTTTTCTGTCCTAAATGACTGTAACAACTCTTTAATAGGGTTTAGATTTAGCTCCATTTGTATACAATAACAAACAGATTTAAATATGTTCATTTTATCTTAAGGAGATTCGAATGACATGTTGCTTTTGTTATTGTTGCAATTGTGTGGCATGAATTATGTAGTATTCTTGGTTGTCCTCTGTCGCCCTAAGGTTCTACTTTTAAGTTTTCTCAATTCTTTCACTTTCAGTAATGAATGGAAGGCTAATAGCTTCCCATTTGCAGATGTATTCAAAAAGTGTTCTTGTTAATAGATTCTAAAAAAGAAGTGTTTTCATGGACAGGAATATTACTCCCCTTTTTAACACCAAAAATACTGATTACAAACTAGGCTTCTGGGCATATATTTTACTTTAGGTATTGAATCCTTCGAAGCACTTTAGCTCAAAGCAATGCTGTGAAATGAACAATCAATAGAAATTAAATAAAACACTATTTGCTGGGATTTGAAGAGTGATTTCCATGTATTTAGAACAATTGTCTATAGTCTAGTATTCCATTCTATTTCCTGATTGTGTGGAAGAAACTATGAAGGTAGAGAAACAGGTTATCTACTACAGTACTTTAAAGATTCAAAACATTTTGAGCTACTTACTGTTCATTTTACCAGTAAGTAGGGTCAAACCCTGTGAGTCTTGTTGTGACTGAGCTTATAAATTGTTTTTTTAAACATCTAGATGCATGATAAAGAATTAAAACAGTTTTCTTACAGGCTGTCAACATAGTTCATGATATTTTTGTAGCACTGCAAAAATATGAAAAAAGAAGAGAAGCATTAATGGTGAGGTAAAAGGAAGATGAGGTGAGAAAAAGAAAGGAAGGGCCGAGGAAAGGGAAGGGAAGGGAAAGGAAAGAAGAAAAGGGTTTGAAGGGGTAGAGAGGTTTTTTTTGCTAACATTTTTATGAAAGAAAGTTACTAATGGTAGGCCAAGGCCTATTATATGTAGGCCTATCAAATATGTCTGCCTGAGGTAACACATTTCATATGAGTTTTTTACTTGAACAATATAAAAAATAACAGTAGCCCAGTATACTTTTGTTCAATGTCAATATGTTTGAGTAAATATGCAGAGGTTCATTTTGTTCTGGCTTTCTGTTCTCCTTTTCCTCTTGATGTATTGTTTTCTTCTTACTCTCATTTTTTGGTACATAAAACTATAAGTACAAACCATGTATTGAACCATATAAAGTTTGGATTGGATCGGATTGGTGGGAATAGAGGTTAGTAGTATAGGATGGGTTGGGAATGGAATGAAGGGCCTGGGATTTATCTGTTGAGAATCTTCAAAGCCATGCCTGCTAAACTAGAATTGTCATTTGAAATGATATGACAGAATTAAACCCTAATTGTAAGAATGTACTTAGAAGGCAGTTTCCTTCTCCACTCTATGACTTTTCAACCTTGAAAGAATGCAGAAATTTTCGTTCTTTTAACCTATACTGATGAATCATTAGATTCAATTAAACTTTCAGGGGTTCAAATGCAATGATTTTGAAATCTTTATTTATCCTATCTGAAGCAGATATGTCATATCAAAGTACACTACCTTTTTCTAATTGCATTCAAGCTTAAGTCTAGGAAAGTACACCTTCTTGGCCTATAATAGTATTATAGCTTTGCTTTTAGATCAACCAATAATGGGGGTCTGGGATTCTATATTGGATTGGAACAGGGGGAATAATATGCAGGTTCTACATTGATTGGATTTTAGGTGAATACTTATAGACTAGCGGCACCTTTATGTGTTGTGAACAAATGAAGTGAAGTGTTTATTTTGTTGTTGACTGGCCTCATTACAAACATTTCAATCATACACTTAAAACCTCTTTATACATTCAACTTTCTCTATAGCTTTAGCCTCCTCATTAAAACAAGGCCTTGCAAGTTTTACTCCAACCCATTCTAGTCTCAATTAAAAGGCATTCACAGGCCAACGTAAACCCAATTTTCATCAAGTGAGAAAAGAGACTAAAAGAATACAGTCTCTGAAGCAAAGAGTTTAGTGGGTATCGTTTTTAAAGGATTAACTCTACCTAATTGCTAAATCTATTTTCTAATTTCTTTTCAAGGTTTTTTTCTTTAAATCAAATGAGTAGAACATTAACATACAAAGGATTTTATGTGTGGCGGCCATCAACATTTATTCCAACAAATCAATTTGTAAACAGGTAAATTGATTTAGAATAAAAGAAATTCTTGTGAATTAGTCTTGGTAATGTTCTTAGGTCTTAGAGTGTTATCTATACCTACAAAATCTCATTAATGAATTGATTGGAAGGCATACTGTACATACTTGCTCTTACCATGGAGGAATTAGTTTAGCTCTCACATAGCTTATCAACAGATCTACGGTCTCACATATGCCTTTATTTAGATAATAGAAACAAATTTGTAAAAATTAATGGCATTATTGGACATCACATAAAATCATGCATTTTTTTGAAATTGTGATGCGCGCACGTCCTTGTGTTGTGTTCTCCATAGAATCACGTCAGCCGACGACGACCATTGGGCACAGTAAGTGGCCAGCGTTAGATATACATATATAGGCCTACATACATACATAATTATATAATATACTGTAGGCCTATGCATATATTAACTTAAGCCTACTACATTATATGATTATATTATAATTAAGCCTATTATTATTATTATTTTTATTATTATAAAGTGGTCAAAAAAATTAAACTGTTTAGAAAACATATTTTGAGAAAACATATTTTGACAAAATTAAGTACCATTTGTAACAATAAATCGGCCTACTCTACCTTTATGCCATAAATAAAATTTCAGTGTCGTAATATCTAAATTCTAAAACATAAGCAAAGTACTGTATACAGAACGTGCAAAAATTAGAACAAATTTGAAGGCAGGTCTTGTAACACAGCATGTAATATTGATCAAACGGATGTGCAAGTAGATTCTTTGATGACAAGAACAAAACATAATCCAAATAAAGAACTAATGATCAAAAGATAATTCTAGAACTTAGTCAAACACCACAAGATGAACTCCTGAATAGCTAGATTCGGTGAGACATGAATCCCTAAACACAGGGGGTCGACAGACAATGAAAACAGAACACTGGGTGCTAATGACGAAGTGATTGGAAACAACACGGTGTTGTGGTCGGCACAATTGTCGTCATTACTTGACATTCACAGGAGTCGTGAATCCTACCTGCATAGCTGCGTGATGGATCTCATCCTGAGCATAGCGTTGAACACACTATTATTGGTTCCTTTGTATGGACCATAGTTTCCAGTGGAGATATATGTGAATCCATGATAATGACTACATTTATCAAGAACAATACATCATTACATTATTGAATTCTCTGAATAGATGATCATGTCCATCAAAAATGAACCAATCATGTCAATTGTCGTACACAATATGATTCATTACCAGAACAAATTTCAAACAATATAAGTTTCATGCAAAAAATAACCTTGGCAATTTAGGTGCTACTTGTGCACCTTCAGAAAACAGTTAACGATGAAAATGTTTGATTCTTAAGTATCCAGGAAGTACTTACAGAGTTTGTTTAATCTTTCCTTTTAATTCACTGTAATTAATATACTGTAAATAGACTGTCCTGTATTATATTCTCCCACTAATATATTGCATTAAAAATTGCTGTGAATATGATTAAGACACTGACGTGCTTTTTAAAAAAGGTCAATAAATATTAATATTATCTCCTGATGAGACACAATCCAAGAAAATTATTTTTTCATATAAAAATTAGAATCTTTTAATTGGTTACAAAGAAAATATTTTCTTGTTCTAATTTTAACTGATTTTCATTCATTCCATTTTATTGTACAGTATTATACAGAATTTCATATATGTTTTAAAGCTATAATTTTTGTTTTAATTAAACCCTTTTTTATTCGATATGGCAAATATAATATTGATAATACAGTAAACAATGCACATAATATCGTGGAAAACTGCTCACAATGAAACAAATTAAGGAATGAACTTAATTGAAGCTTAAATTAGAAAACTGTATATGGAACTATAAGTAGTAGGTCTATCTATGTGGACATTTAAAATGACCCAATGCAATGTATTGCGGTTAATGACACATGACCACAGGTCTGGCCAGTGGAGGTACAATAGTTTCTCTTGCACTAACAACCTTTATGAAAAACAAACATATAATGAGGAGTACTTCAGTTTGACCTGCACCACCAGCATAGATGACACCCTGAGGTGAACTACAGGCCTAAACAGAGGGATGACAGGGTCAAGCTTAAACTGTCAATCAAAACTTTATTCAGTAATAGTTGGTAATAAACTGTACAAAATAATGATGAAAATAATTATATTTTTTAAATAATTTATAATAATAATAATATTACTGAAAATCATCATCATCTTAATCGTCATTGCCATTGTCATCAACTTTCTGAGGTGGAAGCAACCAGAGCACAGCATACTGCCTACATGCACCCGGGGGTGACAGCGGCGTTGTTTTCGACATCGGTGGGTGGAGACCTGTTCTTGACACTTACACCGATAGCGCATGCTTTTCGGAACTGTTTTTAGTTTAAGTACCATAGTTTAAGTCAAAATTATTTACTGCTTGTTTTTCTTTTCTTGTTGTAAAGCGCATTGAGGTTTTTGCGGAATGCGCTATAGAAGAATGAAATTATTATTATTATCATCATCCTTATGAACATAAAGTAGGGTTGGTGAAGAGATAATTGCGTATGATATAGTTATAATCATATGAAATGAACCTATAGTAAGCCTACAGGTACTTGTGAAAGAGGGTCAAAAGCAAAGGGTGGTGAAGTCTGTTTATTATTGTTGACTGTTCTACCCTGTAAGTTAAACTAGTAAATCTCACACTTCCTCTTATCTTAAAGTATACATAATTCTAGATTATCAGCTTGTTCTGCTAGCAGAAGGTATCAAACTAGTGTCACAGTAGTAGAAAAAGTCAACAGACACAAAACAAAGGCCTAAATATTTCCTATCTATAATTGCCCTCCCCCAACAGCATAAATTTAAACTATTCATAGATTAAAAGATAATTCTGCACATATAACAATCCAGATAATACTGTACATTAAATATATATTACCAACTTAATATGCCATGTTGAAAATAAAAAACGATTGTGTATATTTCAATGAAAATGTTTTCAACTGCAAATTAGATCCAGTTAAGGCCCTAAAAAAATATTATTAGTTTAACACATCTAGGCTGGAAAATTGATGAGGGAGGGAAGCTTGTTTTTTTTAATTTTTAATTTTGCTAAAGCCAAATATCAACTTTGAGTTGTTCGGTGGTGCATTGATTTACAAAGTCAAACATGGTTGAGATTATACAAACATTGGGCTTCAACTGGTTCATTTTGTTGACTACAATTTTTTGTGGAGTATTATCATCATTCGACTGGTTCGTAACATAAACTTAGCTGACAACGAAAATTAACATAACCAGATTGCGTTAATCAGTTTTAAGTTATCCATGTGACCTAACTGGATGAAAAACATTTTTTTACAAAAAAACCCACACTGCCGCAAGCCGAAGGAATTGATTACGCATTGTGTATCATGGTAACTATGCAGCCATTTTTTGTTTTGTCGAGTATTTACCAGTTTTCTATTTGACTGGTCATCTTTGTTAAGTAGGATTTTACTGCGCGCATGTGTGCGTGTTTTAATGAAGAACAACCAGTCGAATACAGCAATTATCTATTATTTAATATAAAAAAATATATATATATATATTTTTTTTTTCCCAAAAAAAAAACAAAAAAAAGAATTTTTTTTTCCAGTACCGTAGAAGGCATGTGACTTTTCTATTCTATAAGACATGGTAGAGTACTTCAAAACATGCATAAAAAATCCATGAAATTAACATACAATTTAAGTGGATTACTATCAATGGCACAAGGCTTATATATTATTGTATCTATTATAATTTCCTCCATTCAGTTGCATCATAAAAGAGCCAGTATATCTAATGACTGAACAACTGCGTACGTGTTGGAGCTCATCTGGGCTTAAAAGTGTTAACTCGTTCTTGGATTGTATGTCGTGATAGGGTCTGCATAGGGGTTACCAAATGTACTCCTAATTCTAATTGCTTTAGACATACCGCACATTCCTGCGATCAGTTCGGATTTTGAGGTCATTATGTTTTCTTTCTGATTAGATGATTGTGACATATTGCTACCAGGGAGAAATGAAATGGCCCAGTATGTGTGATGTGTGTGGAATCGTGGTGGTCTCGTTCTTTAACATCAATGAGAGCTGATTAGAAGTTGTGACAAAATCAGCAGCTTTACAACCTGTTGTTAGCTTCAATTTATATCACGGTGTACGAGGGTGAAATGTTGGCCTAATTATAATTCTACTGTACATACTGTATTTCTTGAGGCAATATTATTTGCAAACTTGGGGGCAGGCTGTTTAAAATCATGTACATAAGACATGAATACTAGGTATATATTCTGAGTGGCACACTACATCCTTGGTCTAAGATACATTATTCCACACTTCACAAAAGGTTGTGATGAGGGAAATTACTGGTTTTTCTAACAGGGGCACTACAGTCTTTTCTTGATTTTAAATTAGCATTTTTTTGTTATTTTTTTTTTTTTTTCAGAAATAATGCAGATGTTAAGATGGATTGTCAAGGTGAATGCCAGCACACATCTTGTATGGCGTGCGAGTTTGTGTCAACTGAGCCAGAATGCGGGCGTTGTGGAAAGAATGATTTCCGATGCATGCGGCAATATGCAAAATGCTTAAAGAAACATGTGTGTGAGAAGAGGTTCCCATGTGGCTTGGGTTCCGAAGAGGTGAGATATGAAGTATGTTTCAACTTCGTTATTTTTCGTTTATGATTTAAGCATTCAATTTAATTTACTATTATTTAACCTATATCATTATTTTTGTTGTTGTTGTATGTTTTGTTTTTGTTTAAACTTTATTTTGATTATGATTTCACAATCTTTATTTCTTTTAATTTAATATTTTAATTTTTTTAATTTATATTACACAAATTATTTAAAGGATATACAACACAAAATAGTACATTATCTCATAACAGACATCTAAAACTTCATTTCCAGACATTTATATTTACAAAGCATAACTGGACCCTGTAGGGAAACAGCAGCTATGTTTAAATTTGAAAAAAAAAAAATTCTGTAAAAACAGACATTATTAAAGAAAAATAGGGCCTACAGTGGCAGATCCAGGAATTTGAAATAGATTGGGCCCAGGGAGGTACTTTCACAGATGGAGGGTCTATACTACCTCAACCCCAACCATGAGGCTGAGGCAAGAAAAAGTTCGAATTTGTATATAATTTATTTTTATCATCTTTTTTTTAAATATTGAAAAATTTAGGGAGGGAGGCATGGGTCGGTTTTTCCCCCTTAAATTCACCACTGGAGTATCTGAACCTAAGTGGCAGATTACATAACAATTATGGACAGCCCTTATTTAAAAGTATAATGTAACTTACTTGGCCTTGTGCAAAAAAACTTCCCTAGTAAATGATGTTTTTTTTTCAATTTTTATAGTGCTAAACTTCAAATAGTTATCTGTAAAAATAAATTGCCTGTGACTAAGCTGATTGTTTTTCAATCTCAAAACAAGTAAAGTGGATTAAAAAAAATGCTTTCCATAAAATTCAACAAATGCCAAATCCCATTATTGAAATTGTATGGTATGAAGCAAACAGTACGGTAACATTGATTCCAGCTGTTCGCCAGTTTCCCGTTCGGACTTAATGACTTCAAAATATAGGCTCAATCGACTAGGTCGTAGAGCAATCTAAGCGGGAAATCATCTTCCACAATTATAATCTGATATCAGTTTAGCTGTGTGAAATTTGTGTTAAAAGCCAATGTGTGTTCTCTGAACCATGGTGCTCCTTGTGATCCCAGGTTCAATTGCAGTCCTGCTATCAGTGGTTACTCCAGGATATTCATTCAGGGAAGGTGGGGGTAAAGCTGTCTGGGTCTGACAACTTCCATAGAGGCCAGCAAAGCTGTTGCTAAAACATTAGTTGGGGTTCAGGAAGTCCCTGGCCTATAGAGAGACTGTGAATTTTTTGGGCCATTTTAAAGAATGCATTATGGTCAAAGAATATAACCCCACCCACTTAAAAAACCCCCAGATATTCTCCATTTTTAGACAAATTAAAGACCTGTCCAGACTATCAAATTTTATTTGACAAAAACATGTGACATCCCTTAATTTGGAAATGATGACATCACATATGTAGGCACATCATGGTTTTATATGGCCACTGACTTTGGGAATTCAACAGTTTTTTTGTCAAAGAAAATTTGATAGTGTGGACAGAGCCTTAACCCAGTTTTCTCAGGAGTAGTCAGGAACCTTTTACTTTAGCCAAATGCTATACACCATCCACAACCATTGACCATTTCAGACGACATCAGGCCTATATCGCAAAATTTGATTCATCAGACTTTGACTTTGATATACATACTGTAGGTTTGTTTATTTTTTCATTCACCAAGGAGTAATTTGTCATTTACAGGAAGTAATAAACTATGCAATGCTCTCTATAAATTAAAGTTAATTAAGTTATCTTTTCGGTGTGAGAAACATTCTTATTGGATTGGAACACAAGACACCGAAATCACAAGATGAGCACCGTAACCATTAAATCATAAAGCTCTACTCTGTAAATTAGAGACATACTGTACATTTATGCTTTGCGGCCAAAATATCAAATAAGGTTTCAGGAAGTGCAGCTATTTTTAGAAGGTTCTAGACAGGGATTAATTATGACATTTTAATATCACATTTCGTAGTCACCAACCTACGTTTTCCTCTCATTTTTTTTTTTGGTTTCATGACAGAAAACATCTGACCAAAGGTAAATAATGTAATAGAAATGAAAAAACATTTCTTCATTAGGACTCTAACCAATAAACCGTTGCTAACAATCTACATCTACATCTAAACTTTTGTGGTGTTTTACAAATCCTTCAACATGTCTTAAGTCAAATTCACAGACCGAATAGCACTAATTTTCATACTGATGACCAAAGATCTATAGATACATTCTGGAAGTAGTTTGCTGCATCAGGAACGGTTTGGTTTCCCAACCTCGAGGTGGATGTTTCAGTATCTCACTGTGCACTTCGCTTGTGTCCTTCATCAAGGCACTTTATCTGAGTTGATTCTCTCCACCCAGGAGAATAAATGGGTACCTGGTGGGGTTGCCTGACAGAAACACTTAAGTATGTGGAACCAATGACCAGGGAAAACAATGTGCTTCATAACCTAAAGGAAAGGTGCTATATAAATACCAAATACAGTCACCCTGAGAGGGTAATAGCAAGCTGCATACAGTATTATATAGATTTTATGTTTAAAGTAGTGAAAAAACAATTCCAGTTATTTCAAGATGATTATATATTAAATGAAATGAAAGTGCAGGCCTACATTTGTATTTTTTTTTTATTTATCAAAATTTTAAATATTCCCCATGTAATTTTAACAGGATTTGAAAGTAAAAAAGATTATTCACCTGAAATCTGACCACATGCAATGACACAACTGGACATGAAGCAAACCGGAAAGGAAACAACGACCATACTCCCCAATACACTGCATGTAGGCCCCCACTCAGTGGAAGATTCAGGAAGGGGGGTGTCAGATGGGGTCTTTGAATCGTGTGATGATTCAAAGTGATCACACTGTAATTTTACATAATGCTACTGTAATATTTGACACTCTAATCTAATAGAATGATAAACCACTCGATTAACATGCAAAATGGTTAATTTAAATTATATAAATATTATTATTGATAATTATAAAAAAGTATAATAAAACAACTTCTTTCAAGGTCATTGAAATCATGGCAGTCAAGCACTCAACAGTAACATGCTGTACTAATACTTACTATACTATGCCTAATAAATAATACTAATAATACAAATTTCTCATAATCATAATAATCATAAGTCTCTGTCGCACAACCACATTGACAATTATGAAAACAAGTTTGGACAGGCAGGCACATATATATGCCTAACGCTAGAGTTCATGGCTGACCATAATTACTCAGCCCATTTGGAATGGTTAAATGGTAACCACCACTAGGCTAAAATCCAATCATTAATTAAGGCATGTCCTGTACAAATATCACATGAGTAGTTTCACTCCTCCATGAGAAAATAAATATATTTTGATACTGGCTAACAGTAATGTCTTTGGGACTTGTGGTATTATGTACCATGGGATATAAAATATCTTATTTTACCATTCTGCCTGTGGCATTAGGTACATACTCATACCGTGAACACAAACATATTTTTTTTTATCTACAAAATTGAATTTGGAAGAAAAATCTGTAAATAGAACCAGTATTAATATTGAATTATTATTTATTACAACTGTAAATTGACTTCCCACCTGGTTCTCTAAAAGGTTCCTTTAAGATTTTTAAAATTGGTTTGAATGATGTTTAAAAGATAAGCCAAAATTTGTTTTTATAACTATCTGGTTGTTTTCTTGGCTCACCATAATCATACAGCATGACAGCAACATGTTTTCATCCAGTACAAGATTCAATATTGCTTTTGTCACGTGTTCATTGTGGCTCCAGAAATCCTTTAAAAGATTGCACACTCCAGAGGTGAGGGTAGCACGGTGGGGTACTACAGTGGGGTAGGGGTGGGTGTAGCAGGTGTGAGAAAGCAGGGGTATGGTACTACAGTAGGTGTGGGAGTATCAGGAGTGCGAGTAGCAGAAGTGGAGGTTGCCTGGGTGAAATTGTAGGAGTTGGATACAAAAGGTGGAAGTAGAAGATTGGTGCTACTACTACCGAAAAGAATAAACATGAGAAGGAGTACCATCGTACTTTGATTTACTAGGCATGACCATTCATATATTGTTGACCTTTTATGAGAGAAGTGATCATCTGGCCAAGATGCCAGCTGTTGAAAATCAAAGTAGTGAAGACTTCTCTAGACAAGATGACCTATGGAGGTCATTTGTAACTACCTTGTTAAGCATCATAATATTATGTATCTTAACATAAAAACACTCACTGACCTTATTAAACTCAAAATATACTAATACAGAGACATGGTCTTGAGGAAAATGCGACCCAATAGTTCCTGTATACGCAGCAGCGAATGTATTATATTTAAATTATAAAACTTTGATGGAATATTGATAATAAATATGTCTTAATTAACTCTAAAATTTAATCATAATAGCCTGAAGAGTATCTAATTAGATTAAACAACACCTACAGCAAAAATGTGACAGCTCTACATTGTTATTCTGTCCCTACTTATGTTTTTGAACTAAAAACTTCAACTTTTGCTTCAAAATATTTACAAGACGTGTTTTTAGTATTCTGTATTACAATGGTGATTTTGACTGGTGGTTTCAGATTATTTGCAGTATCAAGTTGTCACAAATTTTTTTTTTTGGTGTAAAGGATCAACTTTCTTAAAAAATAAGTAGAGAGTTTAAAATTACAAATTGGACTATTACCTGAGTCGACACCATTCATGTGTAGGTCTGTAAGTTCACTGCCTTCTCACATCTATTTCACACTTAAGTTCGTCTTGTGTGGGATTCATGCCACACCATTATAAAAAATAAATTTGTTGCAACTTCAAACTTATCATTACTTTCTAGATAGTAGGGAAATCGGGGACCTTTAGGGTGGAGTTCGTAATTGGTAGCATTTCCAACATGGGGCTGTCAGTATCCGTCAGAGGCACATGAAGCTCTGATGAGGTACAAGGGACTAAATTTCTCGGCACCTAAAGAAACTGAGTATGTGTTACTTTAAACTGAGACGTTTTAGTAGGTAGCAGTATTATGCTTTTCAAGAATTTTAACATTGGCTTGTCATCTAATAAAAAAATGTTTGTAGTTTGTAGTAATTGGAAACTTAATTGATTTAATCTGTCTCATATTTATCTTATGTATGTTCAAGAATTTGGCACAGGCAATATTTGATTAAGAATTAAATGGTAATTCAATGTTTCATGAATTTTGAGAGTATTCCAGAATAACCCATCAGAGAGTATATCTTTAATTAAAGCTTGATATTAACTCATCCAACAACAAATATAATCTCTGTAGCCAGATGGAATAATCATAGATTTACTATTTAAAAAATTGTACACAGATGAATGTTACCATCAGTTTCTGTTTATTCTTTCAGGGTCATGATTTTGAGAATGGCAAATTCCAGTGTCGAGTTCCATTTTGCGTCGGTAACTAGAAAAAGTTGTAGACTGTTGATGTTTTCCATTCAACATGCTTCAAAAGTCACCGCCAAATCGAGCAGGTAGTTTGAATTTAATATCGCTATAAACACGAACATTATGCAATGAAGACGGCCGCAAGAATGTTAAAGTGCCAATCAAGATAGCAAAAGAGTCAAAGAGAGCACACACATGTAGCACTGAAAGTTGGATGCAGCAACAGGCAATAGTAGTGCTGAGTGATGGGCATAGTAGCGAACTTACCATATTCAAAACATTGCAACTGTAACACTAAGAATCTGCCAATGTGCGAATCTCTAGGAACTCTTTATAGCAATTGTAACTTTGAGAATATCTTATTGCAACTACAAACCCCAGACAACTGTAGCACTGAGAATCTCCATAGCAACTGTAACCCTGAAAATCTCTATAAAGACACTGCATAAACGAGAATCTCCACAGCAACTAACACTGAAAAAAAATCTTCATAGAATTTGCCAAACTGAAAATCTCTACAACAACTGCAAAACTAAGATTTCTTTAAAAAAAATCTACACCTGATGAAGCCAGCATAGACTGCTGGCAAAAGCTTGTGTATTAAATTATTCAAGTTATCTACAAAGAGCTATCAGTTTTTTTATTTCATGTACAAATAAGAAAGCTTTATACCTTTATAATCTCTCGAATGACTATACAAGAATTGCTTATAGCATGGAAAATGGGTCTTTTCATATTGACTGCAACTTTGAAAATACCTACTAGATTGCAACTGCAACACTCAGTAAACTGAAAATTCCTACCACAATTGCCAGGGCTGCAACTACGAAGAAAGAAAACAAGTAGCATTTCACTGTGTTGCCAGGACAGATTACTGACTCTTTATGAAACACTACCAATAGAATTCGTACAATTGTGTGATAGGTTCAAATTATCTACATTGTAGTAGATAAGTAATAACATAATTGTTTAATTTATAAATTGATATGTAAAATGTAAATAGTGATGAAAATTTAGTGCTCTATAGAGATTGAATAAAATTCTAGTGTGAAAAGGTTCACCAGTAGTATTTAAATGTAGTTGTGCTTCTTGCAATTGTATATGATACAATATACCAGGCACAATTGTGTCTATGTTAACAAAAAAAATCAGCTTTACCTATGTAAATTTATATTCTCATGAGAGTGTTCAAATCAGGTGTACTAATTTCTAGTAAAACATTTCTATAGTTGATATACATCAGTGTTATATGGGTTATTTTCCACAAGAGAATAATTTTTTGTTTTTGATTGAGATGATAGATTATATAATAAAAGAATACATAACCAAAGATATTTTAAAACACACTGTAAACACGGAGGTTGTTGGCGCGGAGGTTGTGAACCGTCCAAACATAAAGCCAGAAGTTTGATTGCGATTCTTGTCAAGTGCTTGATTCCTTGGCAAAGATGCAATCTTTTAGTGGGTACCTGGTCCATTTGATTGTCAATATACAGATTACGACCTGTAACATTTTATAGAACACCCCTTCGGGAAGCCGTAATACACCCCCAGGGAGCTGAGTATGCCTTCCAAAAGCGTTGTTTCAATGACTGGGGTAATAACGTGGGTGCCTGGCAATAGGCAGGGCTTGGCAATAGACAGAACTACAACCGATATTTTTTTTGTGAAATGAAACAACTGGCAAAAACTCTTAGTAATAGAGTAATGCAATACATAACCTAAATAAAAATGGCTATAAATAAAGTTATATAAAAACACATGATTATGTGAAATTGATTAATGCAGAAATATGTTGGATTTTATTTTTTGAAAACTTTATTTACTGTGATGAGGACCTGTAATACATTTCTATAATATTGTGTTTTTCAGACATAATATGTAATATGGTAAATTTATATCCTTGTTTGACTTCCAATGTTTTGTAAAAATGAAAATTAAGTTATTTCTGACATCAATATTATAATAAAAATAATAATATATTATCCTTGATTTTTACTGCACATATAAAGGGCCAGAATTCAGAAATCTTTTGAATTAGAAGGAAGGCCATTTTAGCCACCAACCTGCATGCCCCACTGTTTACAAGAAAATCAGATTCATTTTTTATATTTCAATGTAACTCTTACCTAATTTTTATACAAACAAAAACATGAACCAGAAAATATATTTATTTAAAATATGTTATGTTGCCTTACTCCCAGTTGGCCTATCACATGTGCTGATGCATATTACAGTGTTCTCTAGCAATAATATAGTCATAATAATAATTTACTTACTTCTTATTACTTTTGTGGAAAATATTATTCTTTAAAAGTGTAACCAAAAAAGTAGGGAGACTATTTAATTTTGAAATTTATTCCAGGCTTGGTAGTATTAACCAATATAGAGATACTGTAAATAAGATTTGCGAAGTTTTGTAAAGAGAGTAATGAGTATGACATCTTGATTTTGAATATTGTACTTGTAGGCGTTAAGCAGTGCTCAATTAAATCGTCAAAATCAGAAAGTGTTTGGAATTGACTTCTACCAATTTTCAATTTGTGTAATTTTGTTTTCCTTCAAATGCAGAAATTAAGGGAATCTCCAAAGGCACAAATCATTACATCCTCATCTTCCAGTTACACATGCCTAAAATTTTTATATTAACAAATATGAAAGTATTGTTTTCTTTTTCTTATATGAATTTAAATATTATTGTAATACTGAAAGTGTATACTAGAATATATTTTTCACATCTACAATTACCAGTACATCAACTACTACACTACATCAGAACACTCAAATTTTGCCTATATGTAAAATAGGGAGAACATATTCAACATAAAACATTAAAAAATAAAGTTATTAAATTATGTTTGAACAAGTATCACTCTCACAGTCTCAAATACAATTCTTTGGTGATGGTCTTCATCTTATCGAATCTATTCATGAGATCATACTGTAGAGACATGTCGATTTTGGTCTAAAAACTTGACATTAAGATTCTTGTGTATAGTGGTAAAAGGATTGGTAGGAACAGGACCGCAACGTGAACGCTCCTTTCTTGACCCTCAGCTTGGTGATGGAAAAGAATACATAATTCTTTTTGTTCTTTGGCAGAGGAGTAATTAAGTAACCATGAAATTAAACCACCTAATGTACATGCTGGGTCATAGGCTTTTTTATCCCTAGGTGTGGGGGGGGGGGGGTGTAACGAAAATTCAGAATTCGGATCTGGGGAGGGGTGCAAAAATTGCGGGACAAAATCCCTATTCCAATGAAAACTTGCCATTTTAAGTATTTTAACTCACTTAGTGAAATGAATTCGCCCTGCCACCCCCTGTCTACACCCATGACGTGACAGCACTGGTAGACAGAAGGTTGATGCTTGTAACCCATAGGTCTACTACTGTAACTTGGGTCTTCATTCTGGTCCTTTGGTATGGGCCTCGTAATACACATAAAAACCCTGATCCACTAGTGTGGGCCCCATATAGTAATACTCATTGCAACAAGGCCTGGTCCCCATAACCTGATATTCATGATGACTTAAACTGATGTCAGGTGGAGGCTATTGTCTTATCTGACACTAATTATATTCAACAGACTTTTGTGTGTTCAACTTTCGATTCAACTTTAAAAACATGAAATACTACAGACTACTCCAGGCCAGACACAATATAGGCCGAGTTCAAAGCATGTTATTAATACTGACAATATAAATGCAAGTTATAACAAAATTTCTGATGAATCTTCACTAAAATTGCTTTCTTTTTCATGAATTGACATCCTTCCACCTGTAGATTTAAACTTCTTAATAATATGTATAATTTACTAAACTTGTTTATATTATCCTTTGGGAAAAAATGTTAATATGGTGAAAAACTAAATAACCTTTGTTTCAACCCACACATCCTGGTTGTGGTTATAACAAATGTTTCTTATTTTTCTATGAGAGGACAAAATGTTTTTTGGACTTGTCTATGACATCATTAACAGCAACAGGACACACTGATGTATGGTTTCCTGTAACAAGTACTTCTGTTCCGAATATACAGTAAAAACAGTAAAAGTGATTACTGGAGCCCTGTGTGGGGCTCATAGGGCCCCAAGGGAAAAATAAGGAGATTTAGAAGGAGGGACAAGTTTGATGCTCATGGGGCCCTGAGGAAAAAAAATAAGGGATTCAGAAGGCTTCTGTAGCCTTTTGGTGGTAAAAGAGGACCCCATAATCTGAACCTATTCATAAAAATATTAGTTATATTTTACAATTGTTGTGCCACATGCGTAGTTTAGCTTCCTATAGGTTACCAAATTTGTGTAGCACCCAGTCCCAATTTAATTCCTGGAAGCCAGGGCCTGAATCCTATATATAGTGTACAAGCATTGTATGCTAAACAATTTTTACAGAGGGTGACTCATCCAGCATGAACTACAGAAGAAGAAAAGTAACATCTTGAGTAAAACCATTTTAAATATAACATAGAAGTACATACTATAAATTTGGAAAGTTGAAATCAATTAACTGATTAAATTAAAATACAAGTATAAGTTTAGTTTATGTGTCTCTTCACCCAGGAGTATAGCTGTGTTTCTTTGAGATCCAATAGTACTAGCTTCTTATGAAATTGTCCTCCCCAGTCAGTAGAGTTCACCATGGGTGTAGGCTGAGGGAGGGGGAGGGGGTGCAAATGCTCTCTCTCCCATGGCAGTAAATTAGTTCAAATAAGTGGGTTGAAATACCAAAAATGGCCACTGAGTTTTCATTAATAGAGGTTTTATTCCACATTCTGGGATTTAGTTCGCCATTCTCATTTTCCGCAGCACACCCCCCTCCCCAGCCTATGCCCACTGCGGATAATAATGCATAATAGTGCATAGAAGCAGTTTGTATCAATTTGCGCTAATATGATTACCATTATTAATTATGAACAACATACACTAAAACTACAAGTTTATATAAACTAAAACTATAGGTATAAATGGATGTACAAAAAAGAACAAAATAATTAAAAAATGTTAAATTAAGCAAAACAAAATCTTAGGGTGTGTTTCTACTGATAAACACAAAATAATCGATTTTTAAAACCATTTTTTTAATGAGTACCAGACAGCCTGCTGGCGTTGCAACTGCATTTTGCATTTTTCGAAAATCGGTTTTCGTGACGGAAATTACGTCACCATTTTATTTATACAACACATTGTTTTCCTAACTGTATAGGATAGTATCTTTCTCATTCCTGTCATGATGACGAGGAGTAAGATACGATGTGGCGCGAGAAGGCAAATGTTTTCGGCTGTGCTCATTCGTCACTCCACATGTTTGTTGATGGGTTTAGCTTGTAGGCCTAGGACATGAACAAGAGGACAATTTTTTTTTGAAAGTTCGCGCCTAATATGATCTAGTCTTTGCAGTGATTGACCTGGAGGTCACATTTCACCAGATAATCGCTATTTTTGTGTTGCAGCTAAAAGGTGCGCAGCCAAAATCGGTTATTTGCCGTTCAAACACGCTACACGTTGCGTGTTTTTAATCGATTTTTTTTAATCGCTTTTTTCAAACTGGTCCCGTTTCTACTGCGAGAATAAAAGCTATTTTTCGAAAAAGCGATTTTTAATCGATTATTTCTTTCCAGTAGAAACAGGCTCTTAGGGGGAAATAAAGAGGTCAAGGCCATTTGCTGTTCATATTCTTCATATTACAAGATTGTTTAACTTTTGTACTTTTAATGTAATTTTCCAACATTGTTTTTGTCCTATTTTAATGTAAATATTGTATTATATTTCAGTTTTTTTTGTTGTTTTTTTTGGTTTTTTTTTTTGTTTTTTGCTGCATTTCCAATATTGTGAAAAACCTCTTGGAAATAAAAGATAAAAAGAAACTTATGAATTAATGCTGTGTTGGAAATGAAATAAGCCTCAAATTCTGAAATGATGACAAAAAATAATCATACATAATCAAGTATTTAAGAACTAGAGCTGTCAATGTACTCTTTGGAGGGTGAAGGGCACAATGGATTATAATACAAAACTTTCCATACTTTTTCAAGATATGTTTTATGATAATAATAGAGGAATTTCAAAAGTATTTTCCTAAATGATGTCAGAAAAGTACTCAAGGGAATAAGTTTGTGCCAAAATGACAAATTGGAAGTTTATATGGAAAGGAAGAATGAAAATCTAAAAATGTGATATTATGTTAAGTTGCACTATCTATTAGGATTAAGTTATTCCAGTGCGGATGACAGCAGGAACTAAAATTTAATTTTGCAGATTCAAGTCTTTGATAATCAAGTAAAAAGAAAATACCATTCACATTATTTCAATAATCAACCTAAAAATGAAGTTTAGCTACTTGCCTACTACATATTTTTTTTTAAATTTTACTTATATTCCATAGCATTAATATCCCATAATATTTAATATACTGTAGTTTGATTTTTTTTTGCCACATACATTTCTTACTACAAGTAACACATTAATACAGTTAGAAATATATGTCGGCTGGGATAAGAAGTAGGCCTAGATTAAAAAAAAACATTTAGTTATAAAGACATAATTCTCTATTAAATGTTTGAATACTTGATTCATGCTTGTCAAAAGTTCTACAATAATGAACCACTGACAAAGTTTGGCTTTTCAATGCTTTTTTTTTCAAATATCAGAATATATTAAAATCAATTTTTAAGTTTGACTTCTCTAATTTTCTGGAAATTAAATGATTTTACATACAGCAAAATCAAGTTTACAATTTTTCTATTTTTTTTAAAGGAAATTAAATGTGTGCAAATTTGATTTGAATGTGCAAACATCAAGTTAAATGACATTTTAAATGTATTATTTCATCAGTGACACAATTGTGTGGAAATAGCATTTAGTAGATTAGTACCACATGGCAGGAACCAATAATGACAGTGTACATACTTGCGTTTGAGGCAATGGAATGAAAATAACCAAAGCTCCAAGTGATAAATTGGGTACAGACACTAACAATTCCTGGCAACCAAACTTTAACTGAGGAAGCCATAATAGAGACAGTGACCCTGTCACAACGGAATGAAGCGAGACGGTCACACCCAATTTCTCTCAGTTTTTAGTCTCAACTGTTTTTCTATGAATTTGGTATATCTAGCACGATCAACGCCATCTAACTAAAACCGTTAAGTACATGCATAACGCATACTCATTCGACAGAAAAGTTGAGCCGCAAAATATAATTTGTCAGATTGCAATCAGAATGTCTGTATAGCGCTAGATAAATAAATTTAATGGGATTATTTGAATGAAAAATTAAACTTTCCGTGGGAAAAAATTTAGTAAGTTTAAGTTATTTTTGGTAAAGTTTGTGATTTGTTTCATTTTGTTCCTTTTTTTGCTTTTCAGTCCAGACAAAATGCATAGAATCTCAAGCATAATGTTACATGAATTTAACATTATTATTTTTAACATAATACATTTTTGAAGCAAATGTTTAAATAGAAATGTTATCTAGGAATTTGACATGATATAATATCAAGATATGGACTGATACAATCAGCTGTTCGCAACAATATTTGGATAGTTATGAACAACAAATCTCGCTGAGGTCCAACTACATCAGCCACATAAAACCTAACTTGAAACTCTTTCCTGCTAACACCTCTAATATCCTATTTAGTAATTGGGTATTTTAAACAGGTGAATCAAATTTCATAACTACAGTTAAACATTAAACAGATTTTATGACGAAAAGGATTCACTTTCATGCGTCAGACTAACTTGTCTTCCTCATCCGATATATCGCCGCTCACATCAAAATCTAACACAATCAAAGTAGATTGTATTACTTTGTGGAAACAAAAAAGCTCGTCAAAATAAGCTCATATTATTTGTCAAGCAAATTTGTAATCTTTCACAACACAAAAAGTCTGAAATTACAACAGCGCATACAACAACAACAACAATTCAATTCTTATATTGACATAAACTGTACATACTGTACTTTAACACGTTTTTTTTTGTTTCACAAACTAACACAATCCACTTTCATTGCGTTAGTTGTGATGTTAGCGACGATAAAATAGTTCTTGTACAGTAGATCATCGTGTATAATTGCTTGTCTTGTAAAAAATATTGGTACTTATTTTATAAGACATTGACTAATGACTATTCACAGTGACGTATCTAAGGGTGTGCGAGGGGTACACGCCCACCCCAAAAAATGTTTGTGCCTCCATCCACTTGCCACCGAATTCAATAAAAAAAATCACACCCATGTAGTTAAAAATCATCTTATATCACCTTACTTTGCGACCTAGCGGCCCCTCACTTAATCATCAAGCCCCCAACTCCACCTGCACGCCTCTCCACCCCCCTCCTTTTTCAAGACTCCTAGATACACCATTGACTATTAGCTATCCTAGGCCCATGTCTCCATATTAATACAATAAATAAACAGAAGTGTCACAGCTTGCCAGTCAGCGATTACACATTTGCTTGATTAAATTAAAATGATTTTATTCAATAATTATTATTAAGTTACAAGAGAATGAGAAACAATACAAAGTATGTGTACTGTTTAGCCTATATTATAGATAACTCTATTACCCTATAATTAATTCCATTATATTTAATTTTGTGGTGTAAAAATTACTTCCAATTTTGTGCAAATGTAACAATTTACTCCACACCTAATCAAAACTTACAAGATGATAAAACAAAAAAATAAAAATTACTGTTTTTAGCATCATGCTCTTCATCTAAGCAAGGATGAATTATCTTTACAGCCAATAAATCTAGGAAAGCTGCAGGTACCTCAAATAGGCACAGTTATTGGCAAATCACTCTGTGATATAGGGTACATTTACCTGGAAACCAGATCAAGGTGGAAACACCTGACTCATAAGGGTACATATTCCAGATATTTATATAGGTACTTAATATTAGTTCACCTGAATGTAAAGTAATGTGAACATGGAAAAACTAGTGTTCTAAAAACAAAGTAACAGTTGAAAAATTATAGATGTTTAGATCATATGCCACTAATAAATACAGTATGTGTTCCACAATCCATCATGTCAAAATATGGCTAGCTCTGATGCAGTGCCAATGGCCCTAAAAATAAACATACTAAAAGGTTAACACCAAAATGCCATATTTTACCGGCGGCCTCCTTTGCCGGTTTATGATGAAACATAAACTTCTCTCGGTTGGATTCCTTTCAACAAGCACTGCTTACTTTGATATTGGTTGGTAATAGCCTATGATTCGACATATAGAATTCTATTTTTTTGGACCCCCGCCTTTGTCGGGACCTATTGATGGTGTTCTTTGGCAAGTATATACAACCAATCACACGTTAATGAATGCTTATTTGACCTAGCGAGAATGTACCGACTTCAAATCAGTTTGCACAACAAGAAAACCACAAACCTACTTCATAGTTTTATGTAAACATATATTAGGAAAAATATTTGTCATAAACTATGGTAAAAAAACCCTCAGACTTAATGAACGGCTCATTTTAAAAGGCTACAATGTGTTTTTAATTTCCAATAAAACACATTTCAAAATAAACAAGTTTTTTATTGATAGATGGCCATTTACCAAAAATATTGATTATCAGCCATCTTAAGGGTTTATGTGAACAAGCTATAAGAATGATAATATTTATATCTCTGTAATGACTTGAAAAACTTTTCTCCAATTTTAAGTATAACAAAGTAAGAAATACTATATTGAAATATATTTTTGAAGTTATTAGTTTAATTAGGTTTGTTGGTTTAAAACAGTTTTAATACAATTTTTCAATTCCCTTAACTAGTTTAATCATGTTATCATATGGGCCTAATAATAATAATAATAATAATATAGGAATAGGCCCTCACTCAACAAACAACTCCACCATGTTAATTCAACTTTGTCATTCTGATTTCCCTTCATTCCGTTTATCGTTTGCACAATGGTTTTTATTTATAATCTTGTTGTTCACAACTTGATACGGTTGAATTCCGCATAAATTGACGTGCCACAAACTTAATTCCTTCTGTATAAATAAGATGGCCTATATGGAAACTCTGCACACTGATTGTCATAATTTTTGTTAAAATTCAAATAGCTAATCAACGTTTATATATAATTAGAATACATTCCAAAGACCTACAAGAATAAAATTGTGTCTTACATGGCCCTCTACTTTTGGGAGTATGAGATAGGGGATAGAGAGAGGGTTGGAAAGAATGTCACAGTACCTCCATTCTTAGAATGTTAGTGTAGGGGAAAATGCAGGGAAAGCGAGTCAAACAGAAAGTGTGTTGATAACCTGGAATTGAAATCCTAATAACAACCAAAGCAAAACTGGATTGAAGTCAAATACATTATCATATCTTACCTGAAATTTGTGTAAAAAATATTCAAATTGACTAAGTATGTACGGCATGGCCTTAATATCATGTAATGACATATTGGCTGCTTTCCAACAGGATCCACGCACTATGCTATCTGCATGTTCACATGACACGGCCAATCAGCTACACCCACAAGAAAGGCCACAGGCACATTCAGTCAGTACTTTCGAAAAACTTTCCATGGCTGAAAAAAGTTATATTTTTCTGTTAGAAACAGGTTGGCCTACAAAAATTACTAGCCTAGACTATATTTTTACCAGATCAACTTTGCCGGCCTGCTTATATAATATACTTATAGAACTGGACAGCTAATTAACAGAAAATCCTATATAGGTTCAAAACAAAACAGATTCTTTTTATTGTTCTAGACTTCAGCCTAGGGGGTCATTGAACATTATTAACCTTTTCACAAGTGTACAAACCAGTATGGTAGGAGGAGGGGTAGACAAAATTAAACACTTTTACATATGTATAAAAATATTCAATCTAACATGCAATATGTAAAATAATGGTAAAATTATAATGTAACCATGGATATAATATTATTTTTAAGCAACAAAGTACATTGCTAGTTGACTTCACAAAAAAAATGGAGAATGGTTTTGCAAAAATCAACATGAGGATATCGAAAAAGAGTACTGTTTGTACTCTAGTGAAAACGTTGATAATTGTGAACTACCCCCTATGGTAGTTAACATGTTTTTTCATAAACACAGTCATTAGCCATCGGTATATCTCCCTGTATTTTCAGCTTGCCAAGTCTACAAAAAGTTGAGATTAGAACAATGATAATGGCAGTAATATATAATTCATAACGCACAAAATCCATTTGATTAATAATAGTGAGACTATATATTTCTATTTATTATGTTTGCAGCCATTTTCGAGCCAATAAGTTATGTAATCAAAATTGACTTACCTTCACAAATTTTTGGTCCGATCTGGACTCTCTTCAGGCATAATGCACTATATGTGTGAGGGTTCATTAGACTTAACATGTCAGTTTTCTCAGTTGCCACTAAATTAATGTAATCTACAGAAATCAAAAGGACCAAATAAAGTGAATCTTTAATCTTGACTCTATTAATTGTGAAAACATTTTTGTAACATTTTAAAAGATTTGAACTTAGGCCTCATGAGACTAGGAAGGCAACCATTTAAAACACTAGGCTAACACTAACACTAGGCTAACACTAGGCTAACACTAGGCTAACACTAGGCTAGACTAAACTTTTGTTAGTAAGGTGAGACTTTTTTTATACCTTGTTTAGCGAACCCGCCGAACGCAATTATTGATTATTTTGAAAAAAAACATAAAATTTTATTTTTGGACAATTAGCGCACTCGCTGCCACAAAAAATGGAAATTTCAGAAAAAAATTAAAGTTAAAAAATTTGTATTATGCCCTCCGCTTGAAAAATTAAAATATGTATATTTCTTCCTAATTATATAAGTTTGAAGCATTTAACCATCCCATTTTACATTCACCAATAAAATTATTTTTTTTTTCTCCTCCGACTGGATGTGTTTGGTAAACTCTTTGCTAAATAAGAAAACAAAATTTAATTTTTATTTTTATTTCGTCCTCATCTGATGATCTTTAAAAAAAAGTATGCGAAACAAGGAATAAAAAAGTCCGGCCTAGTTTAAAAATTATTTATTTAATTTAGAAGGCACAGGTGAATTATTTCTTGGAACTGGAATGTACTGAAGCAGTTTCAAGATGGATGCAGACGGTGACCGCACCGCCGAAAAATTATCAAAATTTTTACTTATTGATGTATTAAGAAAATATTATTGTCAAGTAATCTTAATCATGTGCATGAGTAACACATATCTATTTTTACCTACATTCTGATTCAAAAATTCAGTTAAAAGTAAAAAAAAAAAATATATATAAAGTAAGAAATTCAATAATCATGAATATCATTTCTCAGGTTTTTTATAGGTCAACATAGACGTAATAATTTTTATTGTAAAACGAGGGCAAATATTTGTAAGGGATTTTAAAAAATAAAATTCTCTTGGAAATCGTGACAGGCCAATTTAGATAAAAAGTACGATCAACTTAAAAAAGTCAATTTTTTCTGATGAAACAGTTATTTGACCTTGTATAGAGATGGTGAAACATATTTTATAATTCATCCTATTATTAATCAATAAAAAGAGGCAGCAGAAACTAAGGCATCTGTTGGCTATCACTATTAATACAAAAAAAAAAAAAAACAAATTAGCAAAAACCCTTCAAAAATTAAAATAAAACCTTGCATTTCTCATTTAACATTACAATATGTCACACATAAAGACAGTTTTCAATGATTTAGAAACACTTTGCTATGAAAATTGTTGTGTACATAGAAATTTAAGAGTATTGAATGCTATGGGTTATGGGTGAAGACAATTTTTTCTAGTTCTAATTTTCAGTTTAAAAGTTAATTGAAATATACAAATTTAGCAATTCAAATTATAAGGTTTATAATAGATTTTGGTTGCAGTTAATCTTCAAATTCGCTGGTATTCAATTAAAAAATTTCCATAGTAAAATCGTTATCTGCAAAACGTTAAAGCCACATTCCCGGCAAAATTTCAATTGTTAAGAAAAATCTGATTTTTATATATGTTATAAAGATTTATAAATATAATACAAAATTGCTAGTTTAACTGAATTTAGAGATTCCTAAACATGGAAAAAATGTAAAATAATACTGAAATTTGATTTTTTGTGTTAAACACAAAAAATAAATGCGGATGAATTTTTTATGTTTGATTTTGCAAAAGGTCAGTCAAGAAATATAGTAGGCGCCGGAAACATTAGCCTATCCAACACTGCTAGGCTAGGCCTAGCTTTACCTCAACTTAGGTTCTGTTACCACACATAAAAACGGTCGACATGATATTTGCCGTTGCTAGTATTGACACTTGTGAAATATATTTCATAGGAATTATTTCAAATTTGTTAAAAAAATAATTCTGACAGAGATTTTGACAATTAAACATATCTCAGGCCTACTCGATCGATTGCGAAGAACAAACACTAATCTCTTTAGGGAGGGCGAAATCTATTGAGTGTATAAAGTATACATAACAGCGAGAGCATTCTAGTGGATGTGATCTACAACATCTGAATTTGCCTAGTAATGAAGAATTTGTCGAGAATATGGTAATCTCCTATGAGAAATAGTCTGTATTTCTCATTTTTTTTATTCTTTTGAGTAAAACTAAAATTTATGCCAATATTTTTCCATGATTTATAATAATTAGAATAATGCATATACATTTTTTTTTTTTTAATTCTTTTTTTAGTGAAATTTTGTTGGGAATGGGGCTTCAAATGTTTTGATTTGTATCTCACTAGAAACAGTGGTGTATTTAGGAATGTTGACAGAGAGGGGTGTATAGGGGCATAAATGTCAAGTGGGTGCTTAATTATTAAATGAGGAAGCACTATTTGCAAAAACATAGCCAATTTCAAAATGAAAGTTAAAGGTTTTGATTTTTTTGGGTTTTTTTAGTTAAGATGCTTTAATTCTGGGTTGATGGGCTTTCGAGCTAAAGTGTCCGTCATTATCATGAATCCTAGCCATCTTAGGTTATTTTACAATTTTTTATTTCTGTTGTTTATATTGTGTAAATTGTAGTGTGAACTTTTTTGGCTGAATAAAGAATGAATGAATGAATAATTGTAATTGTTTTATTGCATATTTTTTAATTGATTGAAATATTTGTATAATTAATTTAGATTATTTATATTAGACTATATGGACTCAAATAAAGAAATAAGAAATATGGAAATAAGCCCACAAAGCTTTTTTGGATTATCTAGGAAAATCTTATTTTTCATATCCATTCAATGAACATATTTAAGTTTTGTCTTCATATTTTACAGAATACAGCATACAGAAATTATTATTTATTATTATTATTATTATTATTATTTTATTTTGTAGTATTTAGGTGATTTTCCGAATAAATTTAAATCAAATCAAATCAAAATACGCTGATATGAGGTGATTTTTCATTACTTAACATGTTGGCTGCCGGCGATGAGTATACGCGCACACAAGAGTGTTGCTGAGGGCGCCAGAGACGAGTATACTCATCAAAATCGGGGTAACATTCTAGCGTTTATAACTTCTTTGTTATACACTGTAGAGCCACAGACTCAACGCAGGCAGGTAGTTTGGGGAAGATACACTTAGACGACAATGTACAAATGTACAACACAAGTGGGCGCCCTTTGTAATTGGCATAGTCAATAAAAAGTTCTATCACAGTGCCGTCGATAAGTTTACTCGCCCCCTAATATTTTCCCGCCAAATTATTGGACACATCATTTTTATGATATATGACTAGATAAAATGTCAAAAAAAGTATGTTTGTACATGTAAACTTGTTTTGGCACACGGGAAGGAACCTTAAAAAATGTCTGGCAGTCAACATGTGAAACTTTTTTTTCCCTCAGCAAAATTTTGACGTATGGGGGGAGTGGTGCATAGAAATGTTTTTAGAGGAGATGTACCCCACACTTCTCCATAAATATGCCACACTTAAGGAGTTCATATCTTCTTTGAAACTTTATAAGGAAATTAATCTATTGATTTGCTAGTAATATTTCCATGATAATCAAATGGTAATTTTTTTTTTCTCAATCATTAATTAATCATATAAATAGCTATATTTAACGTCATATTATGTTATCATAATTGAGTCGATAATTCCTGTCAAATCTTATATTATTTTATAAAAAGCTAATTTAAATGGACATGAAGGTGGTAGCTATGGAATTAATAAGCACATCACTATAGAAGTCATATTACATGGTCTGCAAACATGGACATATTCTAAAAGAATTCTTATTTTTTGGTCTATCAAACTAAATCACTGTTGAAATGAAGAAAATGTTATTTGACAGAATTTAGGGGAACTATCTATGATTTCAATAAACTCAAAATTCTAAATAAATGCTTGATTTGGTTTTGTTTGAAACATACTTTTTATATGACCCCTTTTCACAAATCTTAAGGAAATTAGTTTAAGTGAAGTAATAAAAACCAGTAGCATGTGGGTTTATCAACCTAATTACCTAACATAAAACATTATTAGTTTTGAAATGTAAGTATAAGTGAGAAGTAGTACATTTTCACTTCAAAATTATAATATTGGAGAGACATTCGATGCATAATTTACATAAAAATATGTTAGACTTACTGTATATAGCATTTTATGCCAGCAAGGCCTCTAAGCGCTTCACACACTTCACTTTGGATTTCAAACTTGCTATACATTGATGTACTGTAAATAAAGTATCAAAATTACATATTATACAAGTACGTAATTCCATTGGACTGCCAAATAACAAATAACTTGAGTATAATAATTAGCTTCTTAATGATATCAGCATACTGCATCTAAACCACTGTGATTCAATATTTCTTCAGGAATTTAACTTGTATATTCTAATTAAATGTGACTGTCTATAAGAAAATTTGAAATTAAACCTCTTTTCCATAGATATCTGGCCATCCCATCTACCTGAAAATTTGCGCTTTTCCATTTGCGATGATGTTATAAAGAATGAAAATCTTTCATTTGTCGTAGATGCTTAAATTCATCAAGTCTTTGTGGTCTTCTGGTTGTGGTATTCTGATTGTGGTATTGACTGTGTGTGTATAAAAAAATATCAGGCATTCTAGTTGACAGTATATCTACAAAAACAATAATTTTAATAAATGTAATTTTAAGGTTACATAATATAATATATTAAAATGAAATGGTTGTATGAAGGCTTGGGTATGTGCTACATCAAATTAAATTATATTACACATTAATAAATTGAAAAAAAATATGCACTAATTAGCAATAAAGGTGTCTAAAAATTAATTTAAGTCATTCCATACAATAAAATTTTATCTATCCATACAAAAGTACATTTAAACTTGTCAAAGATATAAACACAAAGTCTATATTAATCAAAGTCAATTGGGTTTTGGCATTTAACATTGGACATTCTGGACATTTAAGTGGAGGGATAGCAGCCAATTAAATCAACCGCACCTGTACACCAAACCTTCTGCAGCTTTCAAACTTAGTTATCCGAATAAGACCACAACATTATCCAGATGAAATGAAAAAAATAGTTGTATTAAAAATTCCAATTTAATTAAATAATGGTTTACTTTCTATATAACTTTCATCTATGTTTGTTTTACACTTTTTGAGAAAAAAAAAACTGCACATGCAATACATAAAAACTGAAACAAAAACAATTTTTTCATAGGTTTTTTCAAGTATTAATTTCCCATTTAAATGTGTCAAACTTAATCATTGCCATAATGTTCTGATTATTTCCATGGAAACACCCAGAAGCACTTACTTCCACACTTTTACCCAAAGTTTGATTATCTTTTTATTACAATCATGTTGAGGTCATTGAAAGGTCAATTAACTTCACTTCACCTCTCCCCTACTAAATAATTGGGGTCGTTTCCCTAAAGCTCTGTCCAGAATATCAAATTTTATTTGACAAAATACTGTTGTAGGCCCATATATAGTTGTAATGTACCTATATGTGGCAAAGACAAGCCAAACCAGTCACTCCTTGCAAATCGTGTTTTAGAGAAAATGGCCAAAACATGCTGGAATGTCAAATTTTAAAAAATCTATTTTATTGCACTAAACTAACCTTTATATGTCTATACATCATTCTATGCTGTTATTTTCCCCATTTTCAATGTTAAAACAACAATTTTTAAGGATTTAAAGATAGTTTCTGCATGAGAAATGCCTGAAATCATAAACTTTGAAGGCTGATTTCTCGTATATTGTTCTTTAAATAGCTGTGTGATTAAATGCTTGTAACTTCATAAGGAAATGTCCGATTTGATTGATTTTTTTACCATTTTATAGCTATTATTTTACTCTCTGTATTAATACACTGTATTAATAACTCGGAATCGATTTTTGCGACGAGTGACTGGTTTGGCTTGTCAGGGATAGCAGCCAATTAAATCAACCGCACCTGTACACCAAACCTTCTGCAGCTTTCAAACTTAGTTATCCGAATAAGACCACAAAATTATCCAGATGAAATGAAAAAATAGTTGTATTAAAAATTCCAATATTAAATAATGGTTTACTCTCCATATAACTTTTATCTATGTTTGTTTTAAACTTTGAAAAAAAAAAACTGCACATACTGTACAATACATAAAAACTGAAACAAAAACAATTTTTTCAAAGGTTTTTTCAAGTATTAATTTCCCATTTAAATGTGTCAAACTTAATCATTGCCATAATGTTCTGATTATTTCCATGGAAACACCCAGAAGCACTTACTTCCACACTTTTACCCAAAGTTTGATTATCTTTTTATTACAATCATGTTGAGGTCATTGAAAGGCCAATTAACTTCACTTCACCTCTCCCCTACTAAAAAATTGGGGTCGTTTCCCTGCTCTGTCCAGAATATCAAATTTTCTTTGACAAAATACTGTTGTATGCCCATATATAGTTGTAATGTGCCTATATATGGTCATGTGATGTCATCATGACCATATTAAGGCATGTCACACATTTTTGTCAAATAAAATAATCTAGACAGGGTTTAACAGTAGGCTTCCTTTAGAGTAGGGTACATGTTAAAAAGGTTGTTTCACAGTCTTTCATCATCCCCAGTTTTAGGTGGATCACAAATAAATAAATCATTCTATAGTTTAGAAGTCATGCTTTCTGTAATTGGCTAAAACATATACTATACCCTCATTTTTAGTTAGCTTCTAATCAAATACTGTAAATTTTTTTTATAAATCAGCGCATTTTGTGCGTTACTTTTATGGAATTTATTAACAGTTTGTATGAATTGTATATGTAAATCTAACTAAAGGTCGAAAGATCGATGACTGATTTTCAAGAAGAAAGGAAGCAAGTAAAACATAATATACAAGACGGTTAGTCATAATACATTGACGGCACATCTCGGTAATTATTGTTGTAGTGGCAAGTTGAGTAAGGTAAAGGTAGCTCATATCTCACACAGCAAAGAGTGGATGGGGAAAAGAGATCAGGTTGAAGGGTCTCTATATCCACTGACATAAATTTTAAACTGAACTATAAATTTTACTGCAACTAAATTTGACTGGCAAATTGCTTGCCGTTAGTTCACTAACCCATACTACTAATAAATAGTCAGTTGACCTGATTTATTTGGTTAATTAGCTTAACTATATCTAATGCAGGTATTAAAAGTGGATGGCTTCTGAAATGGAATGACTGTAGGGCAGTGTGCTTGAAGAAGGGAACAAAGTTCAAATTTTGGTGAAAAATGCAATTAAGGAAGCACAAGCCTGCAAAGCAAATATTATATTTAAAAAATAATTTTAAAAAAAATTGATTCGAAGCAATCTAACATGTGGAAAGAATTGAATACAAGATATTCTAGTTAAGAAGTTTCTCAAATTTATGTCCTTGCGCACCCTCAAGTCCTTGTAGATGCTGGGGGTGCAGAGGATATGGATGCACCTCCAAAAGTCGGCAGATTAGTTGTGTAAAGGGTCTAAAAAGTAGTGGAGTTAAATAGTTTAGTGGTTAAGATGCTTGCTTCCTAATCCCAGGGTCCTGGGTTCAATCCCTGTCAAACCAGGACTTTACTCACAACTAAAAACAACTCCATTCCCTTAATAATAAGTTTATAAAGCATCATTCCATCGTCTAAGTGGCAAGTGTATTTGCTGTTGGATGTGAAGGAAGGAAAAAAAAAATTTAAAAATCAAATGTTCACATCCCAAGGTCGTACTGGGAGTATTGACATGGGGATGATGGAGGCAACAGGTCAAGATGGACATAAGGGTTAAGTGAGGTAGATACATGTTATTACATTATTTTCAACTACTTTAGTATAACTTCTTTCGAAAATATTTAGTAGGGGGTTGTGCATGGGGGATTAAGATTTTTATAGGTGAAGTGTACACTCCATGGACAGACTACTGTACACGAGTGTTGCAATAAACTTAAATCACACACAAGGTTGGCAGGATTTTATCGAAAATTGTGGTCAGGAGTAAACCTCTATTTTCAGTGATAATGATTCATGGCTCACATCATAAAAGTCGAAATTATTTGGGTAAATCTACTTCAGACAAGAATTACTACATCTGATTAAGACACAGGCCAGCTACTAACAGATATGAAGTAATACCCACGACACGCACCTTATTTTAAGGATAAACGTATGATTTATTGAGATTGCGGGAATGTTTTCAAGTTGTCAAGCGGTGTGACCTGCAGTACAACATCCGCATTTGCTGGATGGACATCACCTGGCCTGATTGTTTACAGCGATGCATTATGAGAGAACTTAAGGGTTTAGTACAGTCAGATGGTGGTTATTGCTTTCACATTTGTACATCTACCGTGGGTGACATCATCCTCGTAATAAATCGTTTCTGTCAGTAGATTGTGAATTTGTTCGATAGATCACGTAATACATACGTTCTTAAAAGACTGTAAAAACCTTGTGTATATTGTAGATAGCGTTCGTCTCATGAAAGAATAATAGATTAATTATCTCACAATTTAAAATCATTAGATTTTAGAGTTGTTCCTGAGAGTCGGCTAGTTGTCTCAGACAGACATCTTAACAGGATGTGAAAGAAATAACTTTTTTTAAACAGAAAGTCAGGCAATCAACACAGATTTTTATAGCAGGATCAGTTCAATAATTCTTTCAACAAAAAACAAATGGATATTAGCTGGGTTCAAATCAACACTTTCAACCTTCACTTTAAAAATGTGGATTACTTGGAATTTTCAAACAAAATTAACATTTACAATTAAGAAGGTCACCTTATACATAGTGGGTTGTTTTATCATTTTTCAAATCCACCTCATAACTTTTTCTGATTTTTTAAAAATAATCACCAGTACAATGAAAACAGGGTCAAAGGTTGGCAAATAGCCCTTTTCTGAAATCCATAATTTTTTATAAAAATTACAACTTATTGCCTTTTGCTGTGTACAGTAGTACTTGCCTAATTCTCAAGGGTTTTATTCAAGGAGATAAGCGATGGACACCTAAACCAGACACCACCCAAAATTGAACCAGGGTCTTCAGAGCAACAATATTTCTTGGCCATGGTTCTCATTTTCTAAATAATTTTCCATATACTTGGCTTCCATATTCCCAATACTTCATCATTAACAGGTATTCTCAATTTGTTTTACTAAAATTTTTTACACATTTTTTTAAAAGTATTCTTCACAATTCTGAATATATTTTTGCACGGTTTACTATTGATCAAAATTAAAGTACAGCCATGATATCATCATTCGATCATCTATCATCAATACTTAGCCAGCAGCGTCATTGTACTAATCCAGGCTCATAACTTGACGTTCAGCTGTGAAAGCATTCTCAAATCCTAAAGTATTCAGTACAAGCTAGTTTGTAAAACAAGTGGATAAATAATTTGCTCTCAACTTTAGACAGGAAGTAGTCAGGCAAATCAGCTGAATATAGCATGTTCTTATATTTTGTCAAAATACATAATATTTGAAATGACAAAACTGATTCGAAGAACCTTAATCCACACATTTGTGTATAATTATATCTAAGATTCTTAAAATTCATTTAAGATTTAACATGTGTTTAGAAAGTTCACTGAGAATGTGTTGAGTGAAAAATTA